TGATCAAGATGGCTAACACCGCTAATGTTAGCACATCCAAACCAAACTTAATTAAGGCCTCGTCCCCTTCCTTCCTCGCCATGTCCAATGCCTTGGAGCCAATGGCAGCCTAGCACATACAGACATAAATAACTGCTCAGGAGAAGTGCAGATTAACAATGAAGGAGTGTATCGTTAAGATCACAGAGGTTGTTTTAAGGGAAACAACAGTACTTTTTTAGTTCTTAGTCATAACTGAGGAAGATGTATAGGACCTTGGGTTTCATGACTAATGACAAACTAGAACATGTTTATGAGATTAACGTAGTAATTTAGGTTTTCGAAGTCAATAAAGAGAATTCAGGAACCATGTAGGTAGTTCTAATCAATTCAATCTAGTGATTTCAGTGGTTTATATAAAACACAGGATGTGTGTGGATAATTTTAGTAGCTGTTCTGGACACCAGTGGCATTTTAGGAGTGTTAAGAGACGTTATGGATCCTTTAGAAGTTTCTGGATAAGTCTGAGGTGCTTCTAGTTCTGGTTTAATAAAGTCGGGTACATTATTCTTGAAAAATGAATATCTTCTAGCAGTCTAATATCAGGATTACACACTCACAGACCTGCACAGTAGCTTTAGGCAGCCAGGCCACAGAAATGAAGAGCTTCTCTTTTAGGTTGAATCCTCCGTAATGAACCAACAGGAAGGTGACAAGTAGACGGATCACCAGACCAATAAGAATGCAGGCCATACCCAGACCTAAGGGCATAGACACAACAACAAAGAGGAAACCAGTATCTTAAATTTCCTCAAGCCGTGAAATGTTTTGCTCTGCAGGTTAAAGCTCTTTGATTACTGGGCCCACTGGGCTCCTAGTAACTGAGAACAAAATCTAGAAACAAATGGAGCAAAGTCTAACTGAAATATACTGGTAGCATAATGTTCTTACCCACAGTGCTTGGGCTGAGTGCTTTAATCGTGATCTCAGCTCCAATCAGACCAAAGAGAAGTGGCTGAAATACATCCCATGACCGACCAACTATTTCTGCTACTGGTGCCTGATTGCGAAGTTAGAGATACCTGGATTAACCACATTCCATAGTGCCAGCCATTAAAAGACATGTTGATTTAGGGTAAACATGACAAAATCCAAGGGGCAGGATGCAGGTTAAAGTGATCCTGATATATGATACCTTTTCAGTCTTCCAGCCCAGTGCAGCCAGGAAAGCCAGCACCAGTGTACAGAGACTTCCAGCTCCAGCAAAACCAATAACATTACTGGTGAAGACTGAAAATATGGACAGACCCAGCAACATGAGGGTCCTCCTCAATACCAGATCCTCCTGCGATCAGACAGAAGATATTAAAGACACATTTTATGAACAATTAAAAAAGGAAAAATCATATTAATA